TTTTGCTTCTTGAATCTGTTTATGTAATTCATTTTCAAAGTATTCTTTCATTGTTTGGATTTGCTGTCTAATGACTTCTTTAAGATTCCATTCCATCTGAGTCAGGTATGCCTTGAGTTCTTTATCTGACCATTTTTCTGATGCCTCTAGGTTCTCCTGTAAATTTAAGCTATCCTGCATTTTTTGTAATCCTTTTTTCCCTTGTTTTTTCATGGTGCTCATGTTACTTTCCAACTTTATTTGACTGCTGTGTTTCTGTTTTCTCCTATAAATTTGTTTTTTTTTTTATCTCTTCAGGATCTCTCTTTTGTGATGGGAGACTATGTCTGGAGATGTTGGGCTTTATTGTAATTTAAAGCAAATTCATTCATTTCATAAAAGGCATACAGATTCTGAAGGCATATAGCGATCCGCAGTTTGGTCTTAAGACTTTATGTTTAGGTAGGGTGCTGAGATGGTATGGAGGTTGGTATGTCTTAGTTACTTTGGAAGATTGCTCTACTGAAGGGGGATATTAACAGGCGAATGGGCCAGGGTATTAGGTAGTGGCTAGGGACTTAGGAGCCCTATTTACAGCCTCAAAACATTCACCTATTTGCAATTAGAAAATTACACGTAATGAAAGTTGTAATGCTTGTGATGAACGGTAGGGGAAGGGGAAGGAAGAAGTCCTTAAAGAGAAAGAGGGAGAACAAAATAGGTAGAATACAAGAAAATGGTAAGAAAAATAAAAATTGAGAAGAGACAGTAAAAAAAAAAAGATAAATGCAGTCTTAGAGTTCTGGTTTCTTCTCTTCCAGTAGGTGGAGCTGTGCCCTCAGAGCCGAGCTTCTGCCCTCCATATGCAGGGAACAATCCCTGTGCGGTGGCTCCTCTTCCCCTACTGGGTGGCTCTCCAATCCTGGCCACCCAGGGCCATTTCTGGTCTCCAGCCCCTACCCCCCTTCTCCTGCCAGCCAGGCCCCACTCACTGGTGGGGTTCTCCACAGATCTAGTTACACTTGCAGCCCCCTGGGAATGACTAAGCACTCTCTCTGTTAGCCATTGGCCCAGACCCCAAGGTTGTGGAGCAGGTGATCTGGGGGCCGTCAGCTTATTTTGCTTGGTCCCTTTCGGTAGCCACGCCCCCAGGAGCTGGGGTGTGGGGGGAACCTTGGCTGTCGCCCCTGGTGGTAGGGGAAGTTGGAGGTCAGGTGTCCCCTCTGTTTCCCTGGGCTCCTACAGTCATGCCCTCGTATATCTGGTGATAGATTATTGAGATTTCCCAGCTGTATGGGGCTGGTGGGGTGAGAGTCACACACCTGTTCAAGCTGATTTCCCTGGGAAGGAATCCCGACTGCCGAACTCTGGTGACCTCTGCTCTCTCTAATGGTGGATTCCCTTACTGGTATGTCCGATGGGAGGGGTGAGTCTGGTCTGTCTCTGGTCTGTCTCCGCTTCAGTTCTCCGTCTGCTGTCTCCTGGAGGCTTGGTTTGTAGCCTCTTCCAAGGGTCCAGCTCTTGGTTTCTCTGCTGAGATGCCTCCGTCTGTCTTTACGCCTCTCACGGTCTCTGGCACTCCTGAATCGCCTGGGTCTGCAGGCTGCCAGACAGTCAGCAAGCACCTCCGTGCGTTGCGGCTGAGATTCGCCTGTGTCTGAGCAAGCAGCTGCCTCGGGGAGCCCAAACTCCCCGCCTAGGTCTCACTTCAGCTGAAATTTGCTGGGAGTTTCTCAGCAGGCAGAGTCCAATTGTTCTGAGGTCTCACTCTGTCCGTGTGGCTGAGGAGGTGGAGGGATCGCTGCCTCCCCACCCGTTGCCTTGTTTCCAAATAAATATAATCTTGGAGAGTACAGTGAACAATGTGTTAATGTTTTAATACCTCTAATTAGTTTAAACTAACTCTCTACAAGACTGCCATTTTATATATTTACATACATGAAATACATAATTTTTTATATAAAATAATGTTAAATATGTTTTCTGGAAAATGTATATTCCCAATCACTTTTTTTTTTATCTTTTGAATTTTACTGCCATTAATAACATACTTTAGCTATATTATACAGGTTGTATAATTGTTGAAAAATGTCTCCTGACACATAATTTTTATTTCATTGTGTTTTAAAATAGAGACTTCCTATTGGGCTGATTAGTGGCCTTCATAGGAATATTATTCTAATAAGCAATTCTGTTATAGGAGCCATTCATAGACTAATAATAAATATCTCCATAGTGCTCCATGATATGCATAATTATCCATTTGAGTCTTATAGCAACTTACTGAATTAGTTATAAGTATCAGTGTGATTTTACCCATGAAAAAATTTAGATTCAGTCATGTCAAATAACTTGCCCAAAGTGGCATTTATCAAGTGATGGAACCAAGACTTCTTTTCTCCAAAACTATTTGTAATGTAAGAAGACCAGCTATAGACAGGTTAATACTTGCTTCCCTTTAGAAAGTCTTCCTTTTCACAAGTTAGGCAAATTCATTACTATAAATTTTATCAGAGAATTAATGTTCCATTTCTGTAAATCCTGTTAAATATTCAATTGACAAGATTTTATGTTCTAGATTTATTGTGTTGATCCTCAGTTTTTTTTTCTAAAAGACACATTATATATAGACATGTACTTGAAGGTGAGTTTAAGTCATATTAAAATAAAGTACTGTGAAAACCTCATGCCAAATTTTTATTGGCTGGTTATGTAGGGAGTCTTTCTGCACCTGAATAAGTCAGAATTCTTGGAAGCCAACAACAACAAAACAGTTATTTATAAAAACAAACAAACAAAAACTCTATTTTAAAAAAGGGGGGGAAAATTACTGGGAGATCAATAGGGAGTCATTGAATAGAAACTAGAGAACAAACTTGGAATATGGTAGAAACTGAGACATAAATTAGCATGACAAACACACCCTTTGGATTCCTCTATCACTTGGTGCCTCCACCAGGCACTACTGCTGTCAATATTTAATAACAATATGTTTTGTCTTTGCTTTACTAACCCTGATTTACTAATCCTGATTCAAAGTGCCTTATCCAGAGGCCAGACCCAAGCCATAAGCCCAGGGAAGCAGAGCTTTTAGCCAACTTCCTTTGTGGAAAGGTGGGGCACATGCTTTCACCAAACTGCAACCAGGGTGATCTGTACTGCACAGAGGAAGAAAGGAAGGAAGTTAGACAATGAAGAGCCCATTCCCCAAGAGGAAAACTGCTGCTGTAATATCCCTAGTTGTAACATGCTCTAGAGTTCTTTGCAGTCCCAGTGAGGTTAATGAGTTCTCAAGAGAGAGCATCAGCCTTCCTGATGTTCACAAGAGATGGGACCATCTTGAGTGTGTGAGAGAAGATAGCCTTCAGCTCTGATAATTCCTTGAAATGTCTAATGTAGTCAAGACATTAATTTATTTTGCTCTTAGTATCAAATAAATTAAGTTTTGCTTTAATTTTACTACTTGATCTAGTCTACTTATAATACTCTCATTAGAGTTTTTGATTTGGTTTATGGTTTCCTGCATTTCTAGGATTACTGTTTGATTTTTTTTTTTTAAATCTCTATCTCCTGGTTGATTTTTTGCTTCTTGAATCTGTTTATGTAATTCATTTTCAAAGTATTCTTTCATTGTTTGGATTTGCTGTCTAATGACTTCTTTAAGATTCCATTCCATCTGAGTCAGGTATGCCTTGAGTTCTTTATCTGACCATTTTTTCTGATGCCTCTAGGTTCTCCTGTAAATTTAAGCTATCCTGCATTTTTTGTAATCCTTTTTTCCCTTGTTTTTTCATGGTGCTCATGTTACTTTCCAACTCTATTTGACTGCTGTGTTTCTGTTTTCTCCTATAAATTTGTTTTTTTTTTTATCTCTTCAGGATCTCTCTTTTGTGATGGGAGACTATGTCTGGAGATGTTGGGCTTTATTGTAATTTAAAGCAAATTCATTCATTTCATAAAAGGCATACAGATTCTGAAGGCATATATCGATCCGCATAATAGTTAAATTATGGAATCAGCCTAGTTACACTTCAATAGATGAATGGATAAAGAAAATGTGGTATATTTACACAATGTAATACTATTCAGCTATAAAGAAAATGAAATTATGGCATTTTCAGGTAAATGGATGGAACTGGAGACCTCATGCTAAGTGAAATAAGCCAATCCCAAAGAACAAAAGGCCAAATGTTTTTTTCTGACAGGTGGATGCTAAATCACAATAGGTGGAAGTGGGTAGGGAAAATAGAAGTACTCTGGATTAGACAAAGGGGAATTAATGAAGGGAGGTTGAATGGAAATAGGAATGGAAATAGGAAAGATAGTAAAATGAACCAAACATTACTTTCCTATGTGCATCTAGGAATATATGACCAATGTAATTCCACAATATGTACAACCAGAAGAATGGGAAATAATACTCCTTATATGCATAATATGTCAAAATACATTCTACTGTCATGTATAACTAATAAGAACAAATTTTAAAAGTATAAAATAAAAAAATTTGACCCCAAACTTCTGGAATCTATGATATATAAGCATTGCTAGAAATTTAGATATACCACAATTGAGGGCACTGGTTTTATAAAGTAAAACCAATTTATGTTTAAATTCCCCACAATTGAGATTACTCAACAAACTGAATATCACTCAGCCATGAGCTCTTGGTCTTTCAGGAAGCTTTGCCTAGACTGCCTTCTGATTGACTGGTATGCTCCCTCTTAGCTTTCTCATCACTGCTCCCCTATGCTTGTCTCTTCTGTTGAGTGGTGAGCTTCTGTTAAGGGTGAAGATTGATCTTCATCTTTATAACCCCAGCATTTTAACAAGGTGCCTGGCACACATACGGATCTCAATAAATGGGTATTACAAGAATGAGAGATGGGTGATTGATGAGTTCCTGATTTTAGGAAAAATTATATTAAGATTAAAACCCTAATTATATCTATTTTTAAACTTCTATGTATTTTCTACATTTTTTACATAAGTGATCATTTCATTTTAAAATTGTTTTTTAGGTTTTAGAACCTTACATATTGATGATCAGATAACTCTCATTCAGTACTCTTGGATGAGCTTAATGGTGTTTGGACTAGGATGGAGATCCTACAAACATGTCAGTGGGCAGATGTTATATTTTGCACCTGATCTAATACTAAATGAGTAAGTAGTAAATATTGTTGTCTTGTTATCATCACAAGTGTGTTTGCAACATAATTTTCAAAATTATATTTCAGTAAATGACTATACATTTAGTATCTTAAATAATGGAATTTCCTTAAGTATTTTTCAGAATTACTTCAGGATACAACTTGATAATACAGTCTTAATAAAAATCATATCATTTGTATCAGTAATTTGATATTTTTTCTTTTTTTTCAATATTTATTATTGTCTCAAATAAAAAATTTTAAATTCTTCAAAATTATGCCAAGAAATAGGCTTTAAAGACAACATCAAGTATTTACTTTATAAAGTTAAAAATTTATCCCTTAGTATAATGAAGATAATGAAATAAATTAGAAATATTTTTTAAAGTATTGACTTAACTTCAAAAAGTAAAAACATATTTTTTCTTACAGGAAAACTGGGCTTGTAATTTATTTTAAAAACTGAAAAGATAAATATTTAATTTGCCTTATTATACATAAATAATCAATTAATTTTCTACATATGACCAAATTAAAAATCTTTTCATCGCAATATTTATGATGTTCTAATGGTGAATGATGACTTACAAGTATTTTAAATTAGTAACTTATACCTTGTGTAAGTTTTCATAGTTTATGGTAATTTTCATATTTCATTCTGTTTTATCTTACAAGTCCTTGATTATAAGAAATTAGCATCCTTCATTTTATAGTTCAAGAAACCAAGGCTTAGGTTAAGGGTCATGTTTTGCTCATATGCAGAAGTGAGAGAGGAAAAAGAAAAACCAAGTTGGAGGTAGATCTCCTAAAACATGAAGGGGAGATCAATAGAGAAAAGGGATCAAGATGTGAGAGATACAGAGGGAGGAAGGAAATGCTGGGGAGCGATATTGGCCAAATTATATTAGTAGATTTATGTCTTACAAACACATAACAGCAAATCTCATCAATATGTACAATTATAATGAACACACACACACACACGCACACCCTGCTAAAGAATCAGGATTAATCTCAACTCTTTTGAGTCAAAACCTAGTATCTTTTTCACTGTTCCTGTTAGCATAATTTGATTGATGTGAACATTATAAAAAAGCACAGGGTTAAAAAAATAAATGTCCTCAACCTTCAGAATTGGTGTTTGAGCTTATGAATTATTATTATATGCTTGCTAACATTCCCTTTTATCCTCTATGTCACCATACATTTCCCCTAGAAAAGGTCACAGAGTGGTAACTTTCTGCAAACTAAGGCAATTCTCATGTGAATTACACACAAAATTATGTGTGCACACACACACAGATATGCTTTCATAGAAAAAAATCAACAGTAAATAAAGCATTTCTGAGCATTCTTTACCTGCACATTTTCAAATTCTACAATTTTGCTTTCCTTTCTTGGTTTAGGTATTTAAAATTTTATTATAAAAGAAACAATATTAATTTTGGTCTATGTGCATCTAATAGGATTTTCTAATTTTAAAATATCATAACACCAAATATTTAGTATTGTACTGTAAAAAAGCTTAAAGATGTTAAAAACTCCAAATATTTATTGCTTATTAAAAATATTAGTCATAATCAATAATATGAGAAATAATTGTCAAAATCATATTCCCTGATAGAAACACTGTTTTTTTTTTTTTCACCTATTGCTTTTTCTTTTATGTGTTATGTGTGGTTCAAGGCAGCGGATGAAGGAGTTGTCCTTCTATTCTTTATGCCTTACCATGTGGCAGATCCCACAGGAATTTGTCAAGCTTCAAATTAGCCATGAAGAATTCCTCTGTATGAAAGTATTGCTACTTCTTAATACAAGTGAGTACGAGTAACTTAATAAATGATATTTAGTTTCTTAACTTTAAATTCATTAGGAAGGTCTCAAACAATATCATATAATATATATGAGGTATAAATCTTAGATTGTAACTGTAAAGGAACAATATCCAATATATTGTCATAGACATTAATAAAATTACTTCATCTTTTGTCATATCTTACCTACCATTATAATATAAAATGAGCTAACCAATTTGTTTATTTTAGATAAAATATGATTAGATTTTTTTTATGTTCGCCTAATTTAATATTGTATTCTGATTAATATTACATAAACGCAACCTATGCTTCCTTTTATAACCGCTCACAAAAGTATTTACTATATATAAAATACACAAAAAATCTATTTTGTATGTAACTATTCTCCTTATATCCAGATAGACTAACCATTGCAACAAAAAGATATGAAATTCAGCAGCTTAGTACATTCACACTGTGTTTTGTCATTCACACACACACAGTCCAGTGGGGTAAGCAGAAAAACCCATGCTCCTTCCATCAAGCGGCTCCACCTTTCTGTGGCTTGGAGTGCACCATTGCTTCTAACTAGAAATGAGAACTGAGTGAGCAAATTTGGAGGCATGATTTGAAAGTGTCATGCACCATTTCCACCTGCATTCCATGGTCCACCTGCCTGCAGCAAAAGCTGGGACATGCTGCCTGGCTGGATGCCCTGGAGCCAGAAGGAATGACATGAAACCGAGTATTGGTCACCAAAGAATGGGCAAATATCAACTTCATTTTTTCTCATACACAAAGAATATATTGGCCTCTACCTCAGTAGATTCCCAAGGGGGTGTGGGTAGGAAAAATTTTTTAAAAATAATGGTAAAAGAGCTGTTTACACTTTTCTGTGCCCTTTCATTGCACAGGGATGTTCAACTCTCAAATGTACAAATCTATGCTTCCTTATTGGAAGTGATTGGAAGAGAACCACAGGAAGCTAAGGCCTTGGGTTGAGCTGCACCAAGTGTCTTTCTCAGCAGCATTTTTGCAGTGACTTCCTTCTGGTGGCACAAATATCAATTGGCTGGGAGAATAAATTGGCAAAATTATTGAAAATCCATCTTTGAATCTAGGAGGATAAATAGATAAGAATTATAAACATATGAGGGAAAACAAACTAGAAGAAATATAAATTATTTTCAAATATCAGATAGGAAAGAACTTTGTAAAATTAAATCCAGTGGTAAAAGTGTCAATGAAAAAGTTTCAATGATATGATGTTTTAAAAGTTTAACCTCCTATTTGCCTCTAAAAATTAAAATACAGATCTCCAGGAACAGATGACTGATTAAAATGCATATATTTATTATTGTTCCCCACAAAACTACACTTAATCTTAGTAAGTGGATTTACCAAGAAAATATCAAGAATAATGGTTTATATTCATATTCAAGAGTGAGGGAGATACAGGATTGCTTGGAAACCTTAAAGAGAGGTGTCCAAGTTTGAAAAAAAAAAACGGTAATATGAAGAAACTTGAAAGAAGAGTTTATAGATGAACACATACTATTTACATATACATGTCATACAGGAGTTTTCACCTGAGCAAAAACTTCATATTGCTGTCACCTGTCCAGAGACCTGTTTATATTCAGAATCTGAGCATTTGGAAACTCAAAGTTGAATAATTAACTTCTTGGTTACCCTTTGGCTTGTATGTGTGACTAGAAGAGGGGACTTCAAGGTCTGATTGGGATGCAAAAGATAAATAGTAGTTTTTAAAAAGTATTTTCCTTCTTGCTGAGCATACACATTTACCTTTAAACCAAGATAATTTCTTAATAAAAATATTATTAAGGGTCAAGATCATGGATGTATAGTAACATAAATTAAGAGATTTTGTTATTTTTCCTTCAGTAATGGATATAGCCACAGGAAAAGCAGATGGCACACTTAAAGTTGAACACTTGTTTGTAGGAAAAGTATACCTAAAGGAAAAAAAAGAAGCAAGGAGGAAATTGGTACTGGTTGTAAACAAAAATAACCAACATGGTTTTGGTACCATTATGAAAACACAAATAACTGGGACAGAAGCAGACCTCAAATGGACCAGCAAGCTTTCTTGTATTCCACAGCAGAGTCAATCAGTCAGGCACAGGAGGGCTCATTTTCTGGGTACAAAAATGGCACACCAGTTACAGAAGGAGTCTGAGTTTTATAGTTCACAATGAGGGTGAATTTATCATTGGAGACTGAGACAGAATGTGTCCTTCGGGCAGTCAGGTAAAAAGCTGTAAAAAGTCTGAAACTCATCGTCACTGGGCAAAGTTCAGAACTCAGCGTTCACTGCTTATCTTCTTCCTCCGGGACCCGCTGTTACCCAGAGCTTCCCTATTTCTTGGATTTTCCTCCTTCCAGGACTCATGGGCAATGGCGAAAGGGTAAAAGTCCAGGGCCCCGCATTTCAGTTTCAGTATCAACCTCCTCCTTCAGGACCCATAGTGGTTAGGAAGGGATGAATGTTTGCTTTTGATGCAGATGGCTGGAGATAAACCCGGGAAGGGATGAAAGTTTGCTTTCCTTCCCTGAGGGCCCATTGTTACTGGGAAAAGATTCACTGAGAGAGGTTTAATGTTTGGCTAATGTCCCTACCTCCTCTGGAGATGAGATAAATTTTTCCCTGGGGCTGTCTTATAGGAATATTATTTTCCATAACCCTTCACTGGTGGTATAATTGCTAGAGAAATCAACCAGGGTGTCTTAGATCAGTGATAGCAGAAGGACCTAAAAGATTTATGAGAAAACAATGGTGGAATTGATAATGAAGTGAAAATACAAGAACTAGTAGTTATGCCTAAGATCTGCATACAGGAATTACAGATTTCAGAGATAAATATCCAAGTTATTAGTTGATATTGTAAGGAGAATAATTGGCATTTTCATTAAATCAAGACTAAAATGTGAATAACAGTTTTCACACTCAGTATTTAATATTGTTCCATAAATGTTGAAACAATGCAATGAATTGTGAGGCAGAAATGAGAGCTACAACTATTGGAAATGAAAATGAAATATTTGGATGTTATATTTTTGAATACCAAGAAAATCAAGATTATCCACCAAAAATTGCTTGAATTAAAAATAGACTACAACTAGGTGTCTGCATCTAAGAGTAATATTCAAATGTTAATAGCTTTCTCCCTATATCAGCAGATAGGCATTAGAAAATTTAGTAAAGCAATGTTAAAATGACAAAAACAGAAAAAGACAACTTATCTGGGAATAATCTTAATGAAAAATATTTGAGATTTGCATGAAGAAGAAATTTCAAAGAAACCCAATCATTTGTTAAAAAAAAAAAAAAAGAACCAGAGTACATTTATAAACCAAATCAAACCATGTATTTGAGGTAGGATGATAGAATAAATTCTGGTGCTTTTCTGAGTAAATGCTGACTAAGTTAAATTCATAATACAGGTCTGAAACAGGTAAGTTGAAGTGTTCTTTAATATGCCTAGTTGGTCTTATATTCTTTCAGAATTAGAAGTTTCTATATACTGATGTTATCCATACCACTGTCTTTTCCCTACTTGAGGTGGTTTTATTAGGATTACATATAAAAGAAATCATCTAGCTCAGAAATGTATAAGTTGTTAGTGTTATCTTTTTAACATAACTGCCACTTGTAATTATCTTCCTACAGTTCCTTTGGAAGGACTAAGAAGCCAAAGCCAGTTTGAAGACATGAGATCAAGCTACATTAGAGAGCTCATCAAAGCAATTGGTTTGAGGCAGAAAGGAGTTGTCTCTAGTTCACAGCGTTTCTATCAACTTACAAAACTTCTGGATAGCTTGCATGATGTAAGTATTTTGCTCCCCAGGATATCAGTACTTGTTCTCTAGATTTATCTAACTTTTTAAATGTTAAATCTAAATTTTACTTGATATGTTTTCATCAAATTTGTATTTGTGCTCCTGGTTTAAAGAGTTCTGATATCATACTGTTCTGAATTTATATTGGGCTTTTTTTTCATTTTCAGTGTAGATCACTGAAATAGACCTTTATTAGTATTTATATAACCGAAGAGTAATTTAATGGCTGGTAGGAATTAGGATACATTTCCCAGAATATGTTCTAAAATATTTTGCTTAAAACTAGCAAAGTTTTTTATATAGGTAATAAAAGCAAAAGTATGGATGTAGAAAATAATAATCTACCATTGATGTGGAATTCTAAATAACGTGGCTGTTGGGAAATCAGGCACTATATAGCAAGAGCTAAAATTTGCATGCTTTTCAAGGTTTTATTTTTCAGAATTTATCTTAAAGACATAATTAGGCAAGAATTTAAGTTTTTAAATTATTTCTGGATTTTTTTTTCTCTGCTGTGATGAACAACCCAAAAATGTCCAACACCAGAACTGGATTATTAAAACAAAACATATGTGGTTAGTCAAGACATATCGAATAGAAGTTTTTATTGCTGCAATGCTCAGAAACCACATTAAAATGACAGTTAAGCCATAAAAAAGGCTATCTACTCACCAGGTCAACTTTTGAGTCCTTACTTCTGAATATGAATAGATTGCCAAGAGTGTGAGCTATTCAAGTGAAGCCTCTAAAATGCAAAGCAGACAACTAAATAAGCAGGAAAAAAGCAGCTTGAAGGAACAAACATCAGTACAGACAACAAAAGAACACTTTTAAGCCCCTCAGAGAAATAAGAATGATATTTTGTCTAAGAAAGGAGAATTTAAAAAATGAACATTAAGCAAGAAAAATGCTTTTGGATGATTAAATATAGAGAAGAAATTAAAAATTCAACAAGAGGGATAAAATATAAACTCTCAGAAAATAATTTAAAAATTAATTCAAGAAAAATTAGGAGAGAGAGCAAATTTAAGGAATTAATCTAGGGATTTCCACCCCCAATTAATAGGAATTTCCAGAAGACAGATAAGAGAAAAATCAAAAGAGGAAATTACATAATAATCAAAGTTACTGGAACTGCAGAATATGAGCTTTAAACTCTATGGGCATGGTGTACAGGTATTGCATACTTGAACAAGGGTACATTATTATAAAATGTGAATTCAGAATATCAGAAATGAGGAGACTATCCTAAATATACTAGAGATCAAAAGAAAAAGTCACAAACAAATTCTCCACATTAAGAATGACATTGGACTTCTCAAAAGCAACACTGGAAGCCAGAAGATGGAACGATGCATGAGCAATGCCTCTAGAATTTTGATGGAAAAGAAAATTTATTAAAGAATTAGATTTCAAGCCAATTCACCAAACGAGGCAATGATAATATAAAAGTAGTATTTCTACTCATGCAGTCTCAGAGTTTATGTCAAATATAACCTGTCCTGAGAACTACCACAGAATGTGTCACAGCAAAACAATAAGCCAAAGAAGTACAGGATCCAACCCAAGAGTGATGCCAAAGATGCCCTAGTAATTGTACAGAGCAGTCTAGATTGGAACAGCAAGACAAAGTGTTCTGGGATACCAGCTTCAGGAATTATTATTGGGAGACCGCCGGTAGGCATAACCATAGCAAGGTAAATTTTTTCATTGCTATCAAGAAAATTTGACTATGGCTTTGTACCAATATGAAGAAATAAAGCAAACAAGAATACTAGGGGATTAGCTCTTACAACTTAAAAACAAGTCATGTAAAGAAGGAAATGTAATCCAGAAGGGAAACAATACAAATCTTTGTAATATAATTGCTGGAAACTGATTTAGCCAAATATTGAAATGTATGCAGAGAATGGGGAGAAGAGAAAATATGGTTGAGGAGCAGAGTATGTAGTATAAGAGAACTAAATCCTCAGTTTTCATAGCACGACCTCAATAATGTCAGAATGAAAAGAAAATGTTTATTTGAGATACAGATATAAATGTCAAAAGACACAGATTTTAAAAATAAAGAAAGTTAGTTGTGTCTGGGGAACTGAAATAAGAAGTGCATCAGGGAACTGAGGAATTTTGTTGCGGAACTGAGGAATTTTGTTGCTGCTGCTACTGCTGTTTTTGTTATAAACCTTGAAGTTCTTTTTAACTTTCAAAATCACATACATGAATTACTTTAATAAAAATTAAAATTTGATTAAAATGTTGAGTTATTGATATAAAGACATCAACATATAATTATGTGAAAAAGCCAGATTGACAAATAGAATTTATGTCATAATTTCAGTTAAAAAATATATGTGTAATATTGTCAATAGGCTTATGTATGCATATATATATATATATATATATATATATATATATATATATAAAAGAGGAAAAAACTTGAAACTGTTTTGAAGCTGAAATGTTCACTTTGGTTATTTTATGGAAACATGGATAAATGTCATTCCTTTAAATCTTTCCTTAGTATTAGAATGTCGCATCATGAGTATATGATACTTGCACATTCTAGACAGTGATGGGAATTATTTTCAGTTTGGAAGGAAGAAAGTCTTGACAAGTATTTCTATTGTTAGGAATATGTTATGTTTGCATAGCATACAAATCTACTTATTTATTTATTTATTTACATTTCCTACCCATTTGTTAAACTGACAGCTTGTCAAACAACTTCATCTATACTGCTTGAACACATTTATCCAGTCCCGGGCACTGAGTGTTGAATTTCCAGAAATGATGTCTGAAGTTATTGCTGCACAGTTACCCAAGATCTTGGCAGGGATGGTGAAACCTCTTCTCTTTCATAAAAAGTGAATGTCAGTTTTCTTTCAAAAAATTAAATCTGTGGTATGTCATTGTTTTGGTTAGGGTTATGAGGTCTTTGGTTTTTATATTCTTCTGAACGCCTTACATTTATAACATATCATATTGTGTAAATTTATGAAAAAAAATGTGAGATTCTAACTTTCCTTTGTTAAGCATCATTCAAATTTTAAAAGTGTCTTGTGTACCCATAGTTTCTTTTAGAGTTTTTAAGACTGAAAGATTGTTGAAGTAAATTATGTCTTATCCATATTATTTCATACCATTTAGGTGAGACTTTTTAACTTTTGCATCAAACAAATCTTCTACTTTAGAAAAAAAATTCACATGTAATAATAAAAGTCTATTATATATACTACTTATGGATAACTCACTTTACCTTCCTAGTTATGCTTAGAGAAATGAATCTTTAAATGGCAGGCAAACTTTAAACAAAAAATTTATAATCTTAACTAGATTTTCAAAAATTTTTTAATGGAAAAAATATAGAAATGGAGTATAAAACCAAAAATGGTTTGATGTTTCTCAAAGTAGGCAAAACAACTCACATGTTAAGATCATTGTCCAGGCCAGAAATACGGATCTCTAGTAAAGAAATTAATAAGTAGCCCTGCTGTAGTAACAGTATTGGAGCTTTTGTTGGCTTTTTATTAAATATTTTGGGGGAGGGAATTGTCCTCAAATAAAATATTGCGATTAGAAAATAGAGGTCAGAAGAATTTTGTGACCTAATTCCATTCCTTATCATTGGTGACATGCAGAAAGTCACTCGATCTTACTGATTTTCAATTTCCTGATCTTTAAAAGTAAAATGTAAGAATATCTTTCCTGCCAAATGCTTCTTTTGGCCAGAGTTTCTTATTAACATCTTCTCAAACCAAAGATAGAAGGAAGGGAAGGAGAAAAGGAGGAAAGAAGCTTAAAGGAAGAAAGGGATAAATATATATATATTTTTTTCCTTCCCTCCATTATTCAAACATTTGAGGATGGTGTTTTTCAGTGAAATATAATAGATGATTCTCAGGTTGAAAAATTTTGTGAGTGCCTCTGATCCAAATCTAAAGGATACTTCAGGAAATAGATGAATCTCAGGTTGAGAGCTTCTGACCCAATTCTAAGAGAGCTGCTTCAGGAATTACTAGATAATGGCTTAAAACAGTACACCCAATTACAGTAACTAGAAAGCACACAATTCACATTGTTACTTGAATTGAAAATATTCCTTTGGAAGACAAACAAGAGTAATTTTGTCTGTGGTGAATCACTGGAGATACTTTTTTTACAAAAGAAAAATATATAAAAGAAAATATATACATATATATGTATATACACACACACACATATATATATATATGTGTATATATACATATATATATATATATATTTTGTACTTGGTATATGTACCAGCTGTTCATTAGACCTATCTGGCACATAGAATGTGTACATATACCAAGTTCCTACTGCTGGTGAAATGCAATCAAAATCAATTATTTCCTTTTATAAAGTAATTTATATCAATTTTAGGCATATATATGTATGTGCAAAATTTTTAACAACTCATATTTTTTTCCTAAGTTTCTTCAAAAGTGAAAATATTGCTGTCTTACAAATAAAACCTATCTTCTTGTGTAAATTAATAATTGCTAATGTGAATATTAAACTTTAAAAATATAGAAAAAATTTCTATATGTAAGTTTCTGATTTCTGAATGCTTTTTAATTATCCCATTTCTTCAACTGATAAATACAGTTTACCAAGGGACAATAACATAAGAATATTCTTAATACTAACATGACCTTTAAAACAAAATTATTTCATTTGATTAAAATGATTTTGATTAAAAATTGGCATAATTATGTTACCATAGCTTTTTTTAACAATAAATCTTTCAAAGTAAAAAAATAATTAGTTATAAATAGTTTTTACAAATAATGAATTCTTATGGGCATTTAAAATAGAGATTAAAATAATTTCTTGGCTTGGGTTCATTAGATCTATGTGGTAAATAAAATAGGTAATATACACATTAATAACTTTTGATTATAACTGTCAATGAGAGTTTAACCCAAGAATTCCAAATAGCCTCAACAAAATAGCCTATGCAAAATGGCCTCTTCCTTACAATATAAGGAATACTTGTCTTTTTCTGGAATTTATGTGTAATACATTATACTCTTAACTGATATTTGATTCTTCCTGGTCTTCATACACATACATATATCCTCTCTCCACTCTTCAAGCCAAATGTATCTTCCTAAAACAGATCTAATTATTCCATTTCCTCATTTAAAAATGTTCACTGACTTTCAATTACTTAGCACTCAGAGATGCCCATTAAAAATTTCAATTGAGCCTTTAAAACTATACCATTACCTTAAAAAAAAAAAAAAAAACTGGACTCCATCCTCAACAATTATATTTTAATTAGTCAATTTGATACATTCATCTTGTGTTCCAGCCATGCCAGTCTGTTACCAACAGGGTTTTTTTGTTTTTGTTTTTGTTTTGGGGAGTGGTTTTTTTGTTTGTTTTGTTTTGCCCAGATTTCCCTCTTTGTGCAACAATTCCATGATTTATTAACATTTCAAAACTCAGTCAAGTATCATTTCTATAAAGTTGTCTTGAGTCTTTCAGAGTGATTTAAATGCTCTTAAGAGTTCACTACCATTTTGTGTACCTCAGAGTTACAGTAGTATGTTGTTCTATGGTGCTGACTCTTGTGCAAGTCTGGGAGGCACTTTGAGGTGGGGCAGTAGGGCTTGTTGACTTGAGAGTTAAGTGACATGCTTTGTCTTCCATGCCACCATGGATCTCTATTATTCTTTGGTTACATTGCTGAATGGCTTTGTGCTCATGACATCATCACTTTCTCACATCTGTTCTCATGATGTTTCCATCTTCATTTCTTTTCATCATTTTTAAATTTGCTACCTTTTCCCTACTTTTTTCAGATCTTGTTCTTTATTGACTATAACATAGAAGAAGTGCATTCTGTATATCTTAAGAACAATACTTTTGTTTGCTCTTCTAATTTTAAAATTGAATGAATGGAATATTATTTTCTTCCCTAAGAAAAATTTCACAATTGCAATTGTTTTTTATATTTAATTAGCCCTAAATTATGTTGTATTGCAAGCTCAAAAATTAAAACTGTCCTTATTTAGGAATTCATCCAACAAATATTTATTGGGTACCTACTCCAAGCATAAGAAAATGTGTTAATAAGCTTTATAAGAATTTGGAGCTGAAGAAAGACTATAACTCAAAAACAAAGTTATAGTACAGTTGTAGGTATAAGTCAGTGTCTGATAAATAGTGGACAATCAAATTTGTTGTATTTTTCTTTCATGAGATTTAATGAGTGAAATTATATTTACATATATTTTTGCTGGGACAAGTACAGACAAAGATGCCTCATTTAAAATAAATCCTGCAAGACATGATAGCACATGTGTATAATCCCAGAGGCTGGGGAGGCCGAGGCAGGAGGATTGCAAGATCAAAGTCAGCCTCAGCAACTTAGTGAGACCCTGTCTCAAAAGAAAAAAAATAAAAAGAACTGGGGATGTGGCTCAGTAGTTAAGCTCCTTTGGGTTCAATAAATAAATAAATAAGTAAAATCTTAACCCCTCAATTTTGTAAAGTGCGACTTGTATTAAATAAATATGTTCATTTACTGAAAAATCTTTCAGTATTTTCCTGCACAAACGTCATCCAAATGGAAATATTTTTAATATAGGCCATATATTAGTTAAGGGAAGTCTACCAATTGTGTGACATAAGTAAATGTGTTTAGGTATGTCAACAATCAAAATGTCATTAGCGTTTTTACTAATGGACCCAAGGGACCGGTTGATGTGTGATAATTTTATTATCCAATTCTTGTTACTTTGGATTAAAAAAAATCTGATAGTACAAATCCTTTTTCAATGGTACAGGTTTAATTTCTAAGATAATTTTTAAATTTCCTGGTTTCATTCAACTATGAAGAAGTAAAATGTGTTGGCCACAAGGTTGGGATTTATTGTGATAGTTTGTTTTGCAGCCTCATAAGAATGTTTGATATTTTGATGTTGATCCCAGTCCACAATGTAGTTGTCTAAACATTAGGATTTAAGGCTAAGTTTTGAAAGGAAAAGAAAAACAAACATTCCAAAGAGAACATGACATTACCAAATGGAAGATATCTAGTCTCTAAATCTTTTACTATACAAATCCCTACTACTAATGTCATCATTACTATATAGTTATCATAACCTTTATCTTAATTTTTCAGGTCATGTTCTTTTGGGTAGCTCTAAAGTAAAATTAAATCCTAAGACATATATCAGGAAATACTTCATGGTTGATGAAATAGATTGTTGGGTTAATTAAAATATTTCCCTTTATGAAAGTTTGAAAAGTCATTTGAATCTGAAGCAATTATACTTCCAATATCAATTGTGATGTGACAATTTTTTAATGTTTAAAGATACAGCACTTTTTGATTAGCCAATACTAGGCTTTTTTTACATTTAATATGAAAATAATTTATTGTTAGACAGATGACATGCTAATATAATAGATAATGTGCTTTCTTCACAAATCATAACTTTTCAATAGCTGTGTCCTGCTGATCTATGACTTTTTAAATTATCCACAATACAGTGATGTATTTAATGATGGGACCTGGGGCTGTGTCCCACTTCTCCAATCCTTCTGAGCTGGATGAGTGGAGCCTGTCATGTAATCTCTCTTATTAAATCTCTTCCAACTATTTTGCAATTAATAAAAATGGAAACAAACAAAAAAAGTAAACAAGTGTTCAGAAACCAACAGTAAGTGCCATAATTGTATTTTCATAAAGCCATGATTCTGGCTATAATTTTTTTCAAACTAATCAGTTGTATTTTCTAATGAGACCAGAAATCTAGAAAATCCAGTTGCTTCATTTCTATCACTATGTACTATGATAGATTTGATTGATTCAATTTGAAATTAGGGCTAGAAGTATTAAATTGATTTCTTTCCCTGAAAAGATATACTGTTTATTTTTAATTTGGGTTCCGTTTTGACATTTTCAAATCACTTGTAACATTCACTCAACGAATAGACCCAGGGAACAGTTGATGTGTGATCCTTTATTACCCAATTCACATTAAGTGATTTTATTTTTCAAATATTAAGAACTTAACTAGAACATAGGCCCTTCAAAAATTTGTGCTATGTACGACATGCTTGAGTTATTTTTACTATGGCAGTAATTCTGCTAAAGGGAACAATGGGGTCTTGAAGCTGGGAGAAAGTCATCAATTCCAAAATTAACATTTCTATCCTGAAGAAGTAACATTATGATAAAAGAGATCTTCATATGTCTTTTGATTGATATATTGTATCCTTTGCCAAGACAGCTATTACATTTTTAGATTTTGCTGTGAATACCCAAACAATTTCTCTGATCTATACTTAACATTTAAGCATAAGTTTTCAGGCTAGAGTATGAATCCTTTTAAATATTTTTAAAACTCCAGAGCCTGTGTCAAAAAAGACCTCCACACTTGAAAAGCACTTTTTTTCCCCCTCAGATTTAAAGATATCTTCTCTTGATATCCAATAACTCACTAAACATGTCCCCAATTATAAAGTGAAAGAGCCAAGAGAATGACTCTTTTTCCCAAAATGTGCCTTTTAAGTAGCCATTGGATGTGAAACATTTCCACATCTCTAGTTTTAAAGGAAGTACATAGTCAGATATTCTAGCTCGAGTTTGCCAAGTCCTAAATGGCTTACCCTCACTAGACAGAGCCATGAAATTATTTTAATTAAGAATATCATCTGGGCACTATGATTTCACTGTTTTCCTTATTCAAGGTTGGACAAAAAGGACGATCTTTATCTCTACCTAGCATCTGCCATCTATTTAATGTAGCATTATTCCATGCTTCCAGGTCATAAAACTCCCAACTGAACAACATGCAGTATGGCAACCGACTGCTCACCCACACTATAGAAGACAGTCCAACCTGGACTGATCTGCATGCTATAATATGAATCCAAGCTGCACTGGGCCTAAATAATTGCATTTAGGTTGGATCATATCCTTGTTCAAACTCAGGAAACAGGTTCTACCAACTACTAGTTACCTGGGCTAATAGAACATATACTACCAGAGTTAGGCCTAAAGCAATGTGGCCTTAAAAGTTGAAAATAAAAAGCCAAGAGTAGTTTCTTTTAATAATCTATCCTATCACTGGAGAAGATTTAAGAATTTGGCAGAAGGGCATGGTGACAAGTTAAACAGCAGCAGTTTATAGCAGCAACTGCTTGATTGCTGCTAAGGGACAAAAAACATGAGGAGATCTGCTCCCTCCTGCAGTTGACCTCATTGCAAGACCCAGCCCTGGGCACATGCCTGGAGGCTGCGCCAGGCTTGTCCAAGCTTCACGCAGCTGTGGAGTTTGGAAAACTCTTGCTGGATTAGTCCCAGAATGTCAACCTCATTTTCAATTTACTAGCTCTCATTGCTTTATGTCATGCTGACCTTATTGTTAAACACAGGTTTGTTTGCTTTCTTACCACTCAGAGAGAAAAGAGGAGAGCATTATTTTTAAGGTGGCTGAAAGCTTTAACTGACAAAGCATCTTAGGAAAAATGTGAATTAGGCAACTAGGAAAGCATCCTACACCTATTACTCTAGAGAAAATTTACAGCTTTCTAAAGAAAATACATGCTGTACTACAGTGATATCAGCTCATGATCTATATTTAGACAGATATAAGTAACATATTTAAATAACATTGTAGATAGTTTTCAGAACCTACACTATTGCTTATTTTTATTATCTTTTAAAATTGCTCTTAATGTATCAACTCCAAATGTATCCAACTTACCAAACCTAAATTATTCTAAGTGAAACTCACGTAAATAATTTCTTCTTGTCAATTATAGTTAAAGTTTAACATTTCCTTGTCTATGATATTTACTTACCTCTGAGTTTTTATTAGGAATCAATTTTAAACAGCAGTGGCATTAAGCTATTTGCCATTAAAGATAACTTCTGTTACCCTCCTCCCCCCAGAAAAGCTTATATTTAAGATATCTGTCTACCAAACTGCATTCTTATTAAGATATGTTGTTCTTTTCCTTGATGTTTTAGAATTCAAAGGCAATTAAAGCTATTAAGCAGGGCAACATTCATGTCCACACTAAGTTTGTATGGAGCCTTCACTTGGTAGGCACAAAATTTTATTTTTTAATAATAGGAAATCAATCAATGGGACTTCTGTTATAACTTTCCTAAATGAGGTTCTTAACCAGAGCTCTGAAATCACAATATATTATGTAATAGTTTTCTTCTTCTAAGGGCTTTAAAATTTGTAAGAAAGACCAAAAAGATTTTTGAAGAATTAATACAACCCTACCATGTTCTTGTTAAAGCAAAGATACACTCTGCTTATTTTCCATTGGGTAAAAATACTATGCAGAAAATAGTTTAAATGGTAAGTTCAGTGTTGGATATGAACAGGAGTGAAAAGAGATTTTCACATGGCAGCCTTAAGAATTCATCTCTTTGACCAATAAAGTATCTCCTTTTAACTTTAGTATTATGTGTATATGTTAGTTTTCCTGAGATATGTACATTCACAAGAAAAAATCAGAGCAAAAGGGTTTTATATGAAAAAATACTTTTAAAATGAAAGACAACTTTTTTGACATTTAGAAAAAAATATTAAATTTCTCTATATTTTAGAATGAGCAGATATACTTTAATGTTAAATGGAGAGCTCTTGTAAATAGTAACAAATATTTTCCTTGATTATTAAAAGCAACAGTCATTATAGGATACAAAACCTGAAAGATTATTTGCTACGCTAATGACATGCTAGTTACTAGAAAATTTATGACTTAGAGCCCAAACATAAAAAGTAAATATGCTCAGAGCTTTGCTTTCTTTTTAAAAAGAAAGTTCTTCATTTTATAGTTTGAGGCTAACTGGTTTAGAAAAATCTACTACTAATCTATGACCTCTGTTTAGCTGTCAACTGACTGTTTTAAGATTTTAATACTTCCACTTTAAAAAGAAAGAAAAAGGAAAGATCAGTACCAAATTGTCCCTTCCAACTTTGAAAGTAGAATCAAAATACCACTTTTAGCTCTGAAACCATAAACTTCCTCAATAGTTAACATCAACATATCATAGTCATCTCTTAGTTAAGATATCTCATCTCTATGTTAAGATAAGAAAAATGTGTCATAAAACATCAAAACAAAATAATGTGTCCTTTTGTTTGTTTTTGGTACAATTGAAAAGTATTACTTTAGGTATCATTTTATTCTTTAGCAACTAACTACAAAGCATTTACTGTGTTGTGTTCCAGTCATTCTGCCAGTTTGTAGAGATCACTGTCTAACATCCTAGAGTTGTCTCTTCTCTGAGCTTGCAGTTGGATGGCAAATAGAGACGGGAAAATGGTCACCATGTTGTACTGTGAGTGCTATGATGGAGGAGGTACAGGGAGCTAACTATTGGGGCACCTGAGAGAAGCACCAAGCTTCAATTTAAGAGTGGGCAAGGTCATCCTGAAGAAAGTCAGTTCCAAGATCTAAAAGTGGTTGATTGTGTCGGGTCAGCAGATGTCTGAGGCAGGAAGAGAAGAGTGTTCCAAAGAAGTTAACAACATAGCAAAAATAAGAGATGAAGCCATGTGCACAAGGTGGTGAGAGAGAGTGGGACAGGATAATGATGAGTGAGGACAAATCAAGATCTAGGTCATCAGTATCCTTTCCCAGCCTTTCAGGAAGGAGTGTAGGTTTGATTCTCTTGTAAGCAAGAATGCAGCATAATTTATATAAATATGTTAGAAAATTCCCTCCCACTTTCATATGGAGAGTTGAACTGGAGATAGCTAATTTGGGAAGCAAGAAGAACTTTTTGAGAAAGTTGTACTATATTAGTGAAAATGATAGTCATAAACATGAAGAACTAAAGGTGACCATGACCTCCTCTCTAATATCCAGACAGGTTTTTATCAGACATAATTTTGAAGTTTTGACTGAATGATGAAAGTAGATGAAGTACACAAAATAAATTGCACAAAACAAGGCCAGCTCTATAACCATTCAGTTTGTGTTGAAATTACAAATTTTTCATCAAGAAAGAAAACAAAAACTAAGAAACAAGTTTTACCAAGTAGGAAATCCTATCTAACAGTATCTAGTCCTCCACCAATATCCCACATTTGCATGTTCTTCCAACCTCAAAATCCAGACCTGTGCACAAGATTCAGTCCCAGAATGTGTGGATTTGACCTGCTTATCCTGTTTTTTCCTTCTTCAGAACCAGAATAGCCTCTCATTTCCTCTTTCTGTCAGTTTGAGGCTTCTTTCTATGTCCTAGACTGAGTTCTTGTCATGTATTCTTAATCATTCCATCTGATTAATTAAGATATAGACTCTCTTGAGGAGACCTTGGAAATTTAGAACAGCATTTTTCTCTTAGAAAGCATCAATCTTCAGACTTGCCTTGCACTAGTTCTCACTAATTGCAGAGTCAGGGGCTGAACGTTGACCATAAGCATTTCTACTATAATAATCCTAGTTCTCCTCAGAGTAACATGCCTTCCTCCAAATGATCTGGAGAAGAAAAACACAAAGATTACTGTATTTCAAGAAGCATATACTTTAAAAGTACCCTGGAAATTTATATGAAGTTTTCTGTCAAGAGGGAGAAATCTATCTCTCCATCTGCCTAGGCCTAACGGTCTTCCTGCACTGGCTGGTACAGATGAAAACCATAAAAAGTGGATGATTATAGAATCCTAGTGCTAACGTCACATAAGAAATGTGAGGCTTTTTTGTGGCTATAAAGACTGCAACTTCTTAGAGAAGTCTAGGTTCTGCATGGTGCCACATAATTTCTTTTCAAAATAGTGTCTTATACTCCCCTTACAATAATTTGACTGGTTTGAACACAGATTACTCATGTTTTATACTGAAGTTGATGCAATATTCAAAGCTATCCACTCCTGCATGTTAGTTGGCAAGAGGCACAGGGAATAATTTTTTTCTCATGACCCATGCCCTCTTGGTTCTTTCTGCTACTACTCTGTTTTGAGTAAATAATGTCACTAAGTATATTCACTACTCTTTAAAAGATTATTTAGCCCTCATGTAATTCTTGAATCTAATTGAATCTAATTCAACACTCTGAACTCCTCATTTATGGGTGTGATATAAAATATTTCAAAGTATGTTATTTTGCTAATAAGATGAAATGCTCCTCCCAATCTATACCCCCCCCCCCAGCTTGACACTGGCCCCTGGAAAGGACTAAGTGAAAAGTGCAAAGCTGTAAAAATTAAAAATTAGTTGCTAGTGGGTACCTAAGAACATCATCATATACTTATTTTCCATTTAATGTTAAAAATTCCATCTTGGCAGAGATTGTGGCTAAATGGTAGAGCACTCGCCTAGCACAGGCGAGGCCCTGGGTTCGATCCCCAGCACCACATAAAAATAAAAAAAATAAAAATATTGTGTTCAACTACAACTAAAAAATAAATATTAAAAAAAATTTCAGGCTGGGGATGTGGCTCAAGCGGTAGCACGCTCGCCTGGCATGTGCAGGGCGCTGGGTTCGATCATTAACACCACATAAAAATAAAATAAAGATATTAAAAAAAATTCCATCTCTGTAAACCAAAGGTGTATTTCAAAGGAAATATTTTGTGATTCACACACAAAACTGAGTAAGTCTGCTCAGTTTGACAGGAATCTTACATTAAATTAGCTAAGGGTTTGAAATGAATCATGTTCAAATAATATGTTTCTCAAAAAATGTTGGGAATTTAGCTAAATAATCCTTATACTATGTGATAGTAAAGAATAAACTAATTTCCATCTCTATTTTTATTAATGAATTAGACACCCCAAACTTCATTAAAATCACATACAAGATGCATGCAAATCTTTAGTACCTTATTCTTAAGGCTTACTTTAAAGTTTTAATCAGCATTTCAGTTTGTACAATACTGTATGTGACGTAAAGTGGGATGTTATCAGGGATGGTTTGGCAGTATATACCCTTAACTACGTATGCATTTTAATGAAGCAAGGAGTAATCCTGTCACTGAAATTGGAACCAACTAATTATTTAATCATAAAGACAAAATGCAGTCAATTCCTATCTAGCAAGATGTAGTGATGCACTGTTTTGGTTACTCACATTGAAAAGTTTGATCTCTATTCTATAAATATTAATTTTCATATGAAATTTGGTGCACTTATCATTAAAGAAAAAAGAGAATATAATCTATTTGTTAATAACAAACTATTTCAGACTTATTGTGAACTGGTTTCATAGTAGGAATATAATTTACTATTATACTGGGAATATACAAATACATTTCTTTAGTAAATAAGTACCTTCTTTGGAGAAACAAAAGGTAAAAGAATAGAAGAGATTTCTTGTTCTGTACCAGTTGCTAAGATGCCAGATATTGCTAATTGTTTGAAATGTAAACATTCTTGTTTCTTAACCAACTAGATCTGGAATAGCTGGAAGAAAGAAGAAAGTTTTATTGAATCATTTGGCCATGAAAATGTTTCTACATCAGAGAAAGTTTATTTCATTTATTCCTGGTTTTACTGTGTTTGACATTTTTAAAATAAACATGCCCCATATTCTGATTTACAAATTTAAATAATGTTCAGACACTTCACATCTACCCATAAAACATTATGCTATGCTTTTTGTAAATACCTGACTTTAATCATTGATGGAGTCTAATTTACGGTTAACTAATGAATAAAGAGAAAATGTGGTATCTATGAATATAAATGCACATGAGACTATTCCTTGGTGATACTGTATGCCACTATATGGTGGCACTATACCATCCTAGAATCTAGATCTCTTTACACTATTAATGTACACATATCCAAACTCTAAATATCTATGTTTAAACCAATATTCAATTTAAATGGTAATATATTATATTTACCTGATCAGGACAAATTCATGTTTGTCCTCATCTTCATTGAGGACAAATTCATCTTATAAGTGATTTAAACCAAGCAAACAGAATAACTTTATAAAATGCAGAGATCTGTGACCAATTGTTTATGAACAGTTTGGAATTCACAATGGTTAAACAACTTAAGCACTATACGAAAAAGCAAACTATTTTTATGCCTACATTATATCAGTTTCTGTTAATATCCTGTGATATAAGACAAGCAGTATAGCACAGCACTCAAGAGCATTTGCTCTGTTGCCAGACTCAGTTTGAATCCAGAAACTCTGTTTCCTTATAGGTGGTCTTGCAACCTACTACATCTCTCTACCTTAGTTTTTTTTCCCCTGTAAAATGGATATTTTAATAATAGTATCTCTACCAGAGGGTTGTTATGAAGATCAGATTAGAACAAGAACTTAGAGCAGTAGTTGGCATAATAGCACTACTATATAGGTGTTTTGTCCAATTCAAGTGGCTTTTTCTTTAACAGATAAGTAAATGTTTAAGGTTACAGAAGATACTTAACCTTTGTCTTGCATAATTTAGGAAAAATAATTTTTAATATTTTAGATTATGAGAAATTCAATGGCATCAAAATTTACTTATCAAAATGATTTTTTCAGCAAAGATCAAGGTGGATTATTATAAATCGAAAATATCAGATATAAGTCATAAAGCCATCAATTCAAATAACCATATTTAAAAAACATTCCTAGGTCTGAAACAGTTTCTACATGAGGCAGGTTGTACAACCAAGTCTATTTTATTTTTAGAGATCTAGTCCTTCCCCCACACCTCTTTTTTTTTTAATAAAAAGAAGCATGTAGGAAGAAATATTTTTCAAATTTATTAGGTATACTTAATAAAACAATAATAAAGAATTCTATTTGTAAAATAGTTAAGATTAAATTATAAAGTCAAAATTTATTTTGTTGTTACCAAAAGACTTCAATATAATTTATATCGCAAAACTTATTACAGGAACTATAAAGTAAGTCTTTACTTTGAGAAATACTGTTTTGTGTAGTTCTTGTTATAAACATTCTAGAAATTAGAGATAATTCTATTTTTCCAAATAAAATTTGAGTTATATATGTGAATGGAATATGTTTAAAGGAGAATAAAATACAATCTAACAGTAACCATTTTAACCACACTACATCATAATGTGGGTACCACATTTCTTGATTTGACTATTTTATTTTCTCTTGGCTGAAATTATCTCATTTATTTGCATTGACATTTTCACATTTGATGGTCTGTTAAACCAGGCTTTATCTTATAATTTTTTTTTTATCTTAAATGCCATTTGCCAAGTGGAAGTCACACATAGTTGGGCAAAAACTTTTACTGGTGCCCCTGATAAGACCAAGAGACATTACTAGCCTTTAAAGTATTTTACAGTCAATAAAATACAGTATGTATACTTATTTTGCTTTAGTTGAATTTCATTCCTTCTACTTCTTTTACCCAATGTTAATATAAATTCCTATTTATGAGACCAATAAATTTTGCTTGGCCAGTTTTCTAAGTTTTGGTGCAAGTGTTTGTTGTGTTGATTTTAAGAAGTAATTATCATTGACAATTTTTAAAAATAAAAGACAATAATAACCTGATAGGAAAAGAAGTATCAAATGAAACCAAACTATGCCTACTTGTAAATCAACTAGCAGAGAGGCCTACATACCAATTTCAGACCCTCATTAGCCACACCCAAATATTTATTTGTAGTAAAACCAACTGCTGTATTCCACCCAGACTTTTAAAAGACATATATATCACTACTCTGAAATATAATGTATTGTGATGTTAGTAATCTGTCTTAAATTCTCAGTGTCTTAGAGCCTCAGTGTCTCCACCTAAAAATAAAAAATGAAATTTCAACAAAGAGCTTTGCTTTTACATGAAATAGTGCCTAGAAAATAACTTGGCAAAATAGAAAACCCTATACTAACATGTTATTTTTCTAGGTAATTGGTAAACACAGCCAAAAAAATTAATAATTACAATATAATATTCTACAACATAGGTAGATAGTGTTAATATACTAGTAAACCTTGACTCACCAAATACATGTTCTTGTTTTTGTGGTGCTGGGGATTAAACCCAGAGCTTCACACATGCCAAACAAGCACTCTCAGTGAGCTATCCTCCCAGCCCTATAGAATTTTTAATAACTAAAACATACTAAGCTTACTGGCATAGCTAACTATTTTTTTAAAGCTATATTCAAAAAGCGTCCAAGGCTAATCTGGCAAAGAATCCATGGCACAAGAGAAGGCAGTTTTGTGTGGAATTCCAAGTCCTCCAGGGACCTTCAACCTGTCACTCTCCTGTGCAGTTTGAAAGGTAATTGCAATGTACATCTGTGCTCTGCAACCTCTCTTCACTGCAATAGGAGATCATTGAGGAGCTGCTCTTTGGAAAATGTGATATTGTTTGGGAAAACTGGTTGTTTTCCCACTCTCATGACATTGTATTTTCCAACTTCCTAATATAGAACTATGTTCACAACTGTTAGAGGCCTTCAGGTTTTAGTAAATTTTATGAAAAGTAAAACATTGTATATTTAAAGTTTATGTGTAATTACTCTCCTCTACTAGTAGGTCAGTTGATAGAGTACTTTCTGGACAATAAACATGTATTTGTAGCAAGGAAACTGGCCTAAGCAGAGTGACCTGGTGACAGGAAGGAATTAGTGTTTGTTCTTAAGTTATCTGAATTGGCTACCTAAACTGGGCTGGATTCATTAGATTCTTGCCTGATAGTTTCTTTCACTTTTGCTGCATAGCTACACAATGCTATGTTTCTTTCTAGAATGAAGAAAACACTGAATTTATATTCAGAGGCTCCTCACACTTAACATCCCTTACATATTTTTTTTAAAGTGTGTACATTGAAGTAAGTTACATATATCATGGGTAGCTATTTCCTTAACATGTTGTTATTTCTATTGATCTAAGATTTACTTTAAAATTATTCAGGGACAGTAAATGTCTGTTCTTAACCCTGCAAATGTACATGTAAGCTTACGAACACAAGCAATCCAGAGAAAAATGTAGTCAAGGCTCTGTCACAAAAGAGAGTAGAAATTACTGTGAAGTCTAAAACACAGGGGAGAGAGCTTAGAAGCTTGAAGGAAAACACTTGAGTTCTAAGCTATGTGCTGACACTTGCTATTGGGTTGGTGTGGGTTACTTTACTTCTTGGAAAATAATTTCTCTATCTGAAAAAAGAGGACACGTGATGTTATGTATACATTAACACATTCAAAACTTTTGCAATTGTAGTACTATTTCACTTATTTTAAGCTCTATGCCTTATTCATATTCTTATATTGAAATCTGGACAGTAATGGTTCAATATAACTTGTAGTAGATATTGGTTTAATTTTGTTGTATAAGTTGTTATTAGTTACATTTGTTTAACTTCATGCAATTTGAACTGGAATGTTTCCATTTAGTTGTTAGAAAAAGGCAGAAACATCTAATTCCTTTCTATTCCCTACATATCTATCAGCAATCTGAAGTAATTTCAAAAATTTCCTCAAATAATTTTAGCCTAGGCTTCTCCATTCCATTTCAAAGTTGGATAGAAATAGCACATAACACTAACATCTTAAAATACTGACACTTTAATTTGTGAGACTTCCAAATCTAATGCACTTTTTCCTAAGTTTTAATTTTTTCAATATTTTTTCAGTAAATTTGAAATATTTTTTAGAAATATTCCTTTTCAATTTGCAGAAACATTTTTTTGCCTTTCTTTCCATTTCTTATTTACTCATTTCCATTAATAAAACCTTGGTTCTGAAAAATGAATCATGCTTTCCATTATACTTTCTTAAATTGAATTTGATATTACAATTCAAAATGTTAATTTGTACTTTAATTATTCCCAGCTGTATTTTTTTAAAAAACATCTTTTAACTGCTTAAAATAATAAGTAAATAGCTTCACACTATACTCCAGGGATAAACTGTTCAAACAGAAATATGAAAATTTTCATTGATTAAACCAAAATCAATTGTGAAATAATTTCAAATGAATGTTTTAACAATGTGCATGCTACATGTAAAAAAGTTATTTAAAAGATCATGTTCAACATACACATTTCAATTTGATAAGTTCCTCTGTATTAATTGGAAAGTCACTATGTTTTAGTCTGATCTTTGAACTAGTATATTTCTCTATATGGAAATTTTGAATGGCATAAGAACATGTACTGCCAGAGGACACAAATTAATCATCTTGTAATAAATATGGATTTGTCATTGAAAACATTTCTGTTAAAATGCATCATTAGTGGTACTTATTCACTTATGCATATAAAATTCATTGTTATTTTAATCACATCCAAACATCACAACCCAATACCTAAACTGAAACTTCTTACCCAGATCTGTATTGCACTTGAAATATCTTACTGCTTATAAATATTCTGTTCCTTTCTTTGTGTGGTGTTTGGTCTCTCAATATACTATTTAAGCCAATTTCAAATAAAAGTATAGTCAGAGTATCATTGGATGTTATTATACAAATCTCTAAGAATCATCGGGATCATGAACTTTTTGTTTTTATTAGTGTATAATAAAAACATTAGTTATACATGATATTGAGGTTCATTTTGACATAATCATACAAGCATGGAATATAATTTGATCCAATTCAGTTCCCAGTACTTCTCTTTGCTTCCCCTCCTCCCTCTCCCTGTTCCCTTTCCTTTACACTGTCATCTTCCTTCTATTTATAGTTCTTTTTAATTTGTGGTTTACAGATATACATAAAGGTGAAATTCACTGTATAGCATAATTTGGTCAAGTTCTTTCCACTGTTTCTCCTTTCTCCCATTCCCTCTTCCCTCTCAATCGCCTTCCTCTGCTCCCCGATCTCTCTTCTATTTTCATGGACTCCCCCACCCCTTTGGCCCTTTATTTTGTTCTAGTCTCCACATAAGAAAGAAAACATGCAATCCTTGACTTCCAAGTCTGGATTATTTCACTTAGCATGATGTTCTTCATTTCCATCCATTTATCAGCAACCACCACAATTTCATTTTTCTTTATGGATTATGTGTGTATACTACATTGTCTTTACCCGTTCCTGTGTCAGTAGGCACCTGGACTGGTTTCATAATTTGGCTATTGTTAGTTGTGTTGCTACAAACATTGATGTGTCTGAATCACTATAGTATGAAAGTTTCAGTGCTTTTGTATAATTACCAAGGAGTAGGATAGCTATGTCATATGGTGGTTCCATTCCCAATCTTTTGAAGAATCTCTATACTGCTTTTCAGAGTGATTGTACTAATTTGCACTAATTTGAGGTCCCACCAACATGGATTCTTTACCTGTGGTCTACAGATTTTTGGGGTTTTGGCAGCTGAAATCCCACTGCAGTCTAGCAGAACTTTAGTATCTGTATGGACATGTATTCCATTACTCTCATAAGCTTCTCAGAGGTTTCAGCAATGAAAAACACATTAAGAAAAAAAATCATCTCTACCATCTTATGTTACAAATATTGCACTTGATACTCAAGAGAGTTTATGACTTATCCAGGGTCACAGAGGGCAGGAGTGTGATAGCTGGAGCTGGGTGCTAATTTGTAAGTTATGCAGAGAGGGAATCTTGTATACTCATACCTCCCTTCTGACACCAAATGTGTGTGTATGTATTGCAAGGCGGGGATTCTCCCAAAATTTAGTTCTCCAGTTCACTGCAGACAACAACTGGGAACTTTACAATCCAATTCAAAACTATCTACTTGGAGTTAGTTCAGATCTCACAGGTTTAGGGCTCAGTCCCACAAGACTGCTCCCACTTTAAGTAACAATCACAAGTGGTGGGTCTCCAGGTCACTTACAACTACTTTCTCACTTGGCTGCACGATAGAGGTTCCATGACCCCTTCCTCTGGTACATTCTTTTGCTAGAAGCGCTTACAGACTCATGGAAACATTTCTGTTCACCAGCTTATTATATAAAAAAGAACATGATGGAAATTACAGACAAGAGGCCAGAAGAAGACGTGCACAGGGTAAAGTTGGGCAGAGTTCTAAGTTTAGGAGTTTCTGTCTCCATTGAGTTAAGTTATGCCTCCCTCCCAATGTGTGAATGCATTCACCAACCCAGAAGCTGAACATGATCTGACTATAAACTCAATATCCAGAAGCTCTCTGCATCCTCCACCTTCAAGAATGAGAGGTGAGGCTGATAAAAAATTTTAAGTTTTTCTTTTTCCTTCTTTTTTTTTTTTGGTGGCACTGGGGGGCGGAACCCAGAACCTTGTGCATGGGGAGCTATATCCCCAGCCCCACTAATTTTTTAAAAAAATTGTGGTTTGCCTTTCTAATAACCAGCTTCACCAGAAGTCACCTCATTAAAACAAAAAATGTTCTTATCACCAAAAAATTTTCAAATGATTTTGGAGCTCTGTGTCAGAAAACTGAGTCTCAAAGATCAAACATTAGAATGAAAAATTCTTCTAGCACCTCTTTCACCTAGGAAACTATGGGGTTTTAGGAGCTGTATTTTAAGAACTGAGGGCAAATACCAATACATACAGACACACACACACACACACACACACACATGTGCAAACATATGTGTGCACAAACATACACACTTCTTATCTCACAAGTCTGACCTCAGAATGCTATAGGTGATCCCAACATAAGTCGATTTTCAGTAGACACAGACACTGAGAAATTGTGGGTTTCCCCTAATTTGTTCCACATTAAGTCAAAACAATTTGACCTCCCATTTCAGTTAGTGCCACAATATTATTACACCCAACCATAATATAATTGTAAATTATTATCCATGTTTTATCCTTTAAAATATATACTTAAGGAAAAGTTTAAGTGAAATTCTCCTATTTCTGCAGATGAACATTTGTGAACACAATAATTTTTCCAATAATTCTTTTTTTTTTCTCAATGAAAACAAATCATAGAAGTGGCATTTCTGTTTCCTTGATCATGGTCTTTAACTATTCACTAATAAATAATGTGTGACATTTCATTTTCTTATTATTTGGAATTAGGATACAAAATAAACACAAGAGTCAGAAAAAAGTTTAATGAAGAATTTATCAATTCTGAAACTTAACATCATATCCATATCTCATCACCACTTTGTACAAATTCCAGTGAAATTATTTCAAATGTGAAATGAACAGAAGATCTCTGTAAGATACAATTTGTTTTAAAATGTTTCAAAGCATGGCTTAGTAGGTTTGGGAGTAGCATGAACAATATTGTCTTCTAAGAGTTACCATTATCAAAACAAAGGAATCAGCTTATCATCCAAGTGCTTGATCCAATAATCATTAAGATAGAATTCCATTTTAAAGAATGAAGGCCTAAATTAGCTGAAAATATTCATGGAGAATGAAATAGGAAACAATCTCTGGGATTAAAATGTACCTAAAAATAATGACAAAAAGGAATGCTCCCCACAGTTCCTTAAGGCACTAACCAATATACATTGAGCATCTATTATATGCCATTGAAGAACATGGAGGGTTATCAAAGTAGAAGCCAAAGTCACACTCAATTAAATAAAGGTCTTACTAGAGATAAAGAATATTGCACACATGATGTCGAGCACAGTGGTGCAGGCCTGTTATCCCAGTGACTTGGGAGGCTGAGGCAGGAGAATCACAAGTTCAAGCAATTTAGTGAGGCCCTAAACAACTTAATGGCTTAGTGGCACCCTGCCTTCAATCCCCAGTAACCACCCGCCCCCCAAATAATATTATACACAGGAGAAGAGTTCAAGGATATTTAAGCTAAAATATATATACATCTTAAATCATAGGCTTCACTTCCAATGTTGGAATTCAGAGAAGAGAGAAACTGGTACAGACCTAAGGAAGCCAGTTTGGAGCTGACAGGGGGTGGAGTTGAATAGGCTGACTAAAAGGAAAATAGCAAGTCATAGCTACAGTGTGAAACTGCTTATAGTTGCTCTTTTCCTTAAACCAAATCTTTGGAAAACAAGAGCAATGAAAAAGCCAATCAGAACAGAAAAAGTGCATAAATGCCTGGCTGAGAACTTTATATTAAAAACTACAATGAAGTTTCATTCAGTAAGGAAGAAGTATTTTATGTAGGACATAAACCACCATGGTTTCAGTATGTCATTAAAAGAAATTAAATGAATAAGAAAAATGGGAAAGACTGTTGAGGGAAAAAAAAAAAGAACTTACAATTTCAAAAAAATTAAACATGTAATATAACCTTAAAATACTGTAGTAAATAAATCTTGTCCCTGAAATCATCTGCAAGGGCGTTTCATGTAGGAATTATTGAATTGCTAATTCTTTCTCAAAACTCTTATTTTTGAGAAAGGATTAGCAATAACTTATCTTTGTGTATCTTTTCCAAATAAAAATCCCAGTTATCCACAGAACTCAAAATAAATGAACAAAGCAGGAACCCATTTCATGAGGGCAGCCCATCCCAATAAGGGAGGAAGAACATACACACACATATACAAACACACACACATACACACAAACACACACACACACACAGAGGTTTCAGTGCCTTAGCAAGTCATGGGCCCTTATAAGGTCATATTCAATTTATTGCCAGGAACAGCAATTCAAAGAAACAAATAAATCAGCTTCTCAAATCACGTTAACAAAGGTTACAGTTTCCTGTGTATAGTACTTTCGAGAATTTTCTATGTTCTATCTCGGAAGGTCAGTGAGCATTCCTATGATCTCTCTGTGTTTATACCAAAAGTACAATGTGAACTTTGGCAAAAGAAATAGCTCTAGGTTAGCTATGCTTTTTAGGTTGATACTGTAAATACAATTGAAAGCTAGCCAATTCCACACTATTGCTAAGAATTCAAGAAAAGATTTATAAATGGCATCCAAAGACTCAGAAGTGATTCAAATGACTTGTCAAAATGGAGATTTATCTTTTGCATTGTTAACAACACTTAGAGCATCTGCAGATGTCTGCAGGGTCCTTGAGAACTCATCATCCCTAGGCTGTACTAGCTCTCCCCCATCTCTCCCCCACACCCCCTGCTCCGGCTCTCTGGGCACTGTCCCTGTCCATGCAAACACTTTCAGCAGACTGCCTCAGTAGGAAGTACCTGATCAGTCCATACTCTAAGGAGTAAAGCACAGTAGAGTACAATTTCCTGCAACATGAGCCTTTTAAAGGAAAAAAGCAAATGGTGTGATTTTTGTTATGCAAGAAAGGTCTCTAGGAGAGATTTTTTTAAGAAGTAAAGTCTTAAGATTTAATAGTTTTTTTTTTTTTTTGAAAGGACCATATTTTGGAACATGATAGAACCAATGTTCCAATTATAATTATGAGAGAAAATACAAATGTATTCCAGTGAAACTCAAAATGTTCACATATCAATGCATCCAGATTAACAAGTGGGCCCTAGTACTACTTCCATATAAATTTCCATTTATTTCTTAGAGATCTGTTGGCAGGTGAGGCAGTGACTGTGTTTAAGAAGGCAAAATTCATATTTATTATCAGAAGCATGCAAACGTCTTAAAAATACCGTCTTCCATTCTTTGGGGCAGGAAAGGGTGAAAGACCATTCCTCTTTGCTGTTCGAATAAAGAAGT